AAATTTTATTTAAATATTTTAAATAATTAAAAAAGTAAATCAGAGACATATTTATAGTAATTATGCAGACAAATTTGCCTGCAAATCTCTACCAATTAAGTGATAATGATGAAGAGCGACAATGGCATATTATAAACATTCGTTTTTGCCATATCATCATGAAGAATAATATTGCTATACCACATCCAAGGATCAAAATGATTTGGAGATATCCAAAAAAAGATATATTAAAGCATTAGTATTCAAATCTAAATGCCGATCTTAAATCTTCCTCCTTTTTTTTAAGTAATTTAGACAACAATTCTGCTGCATTATTATTTCCATGTGAGACTATTTTTTTAACCTTTGTAATTGCATTGTATAAATTACTGCAATGAATCAGAACTTTGTACTTTTCTAAAAGAAGTTGATATTGAGCGCTTGCATTGATTTTTTCTGATAGAGTATAAAATTCGATATCCTTTAACATCTCCTTAGTAAGCTTTCGATTTTTGGGGATAAATTGTATAGTAGACGAATCAAGAGTATGGCCAGTATGAATGTTTGTAAAAGTTGAAATATAATATTCACTAAAACTTTTGCTCCAATAAATATTGATCTTCCATTTACAATCAGTCTGGCATGAACCAGATCCTTCAGTTTTATGTGACTTGTCTTTATTTTGCAGTTTCCCAGCATGACGACATACGAATGATCTTGAAATTTCATGTACACTACTTGTGTCTTTTTCAACACGTCCTTTTCAAATTCTGAATCCATTTGAATGAGCAAATAATTCAACTGTAATATAAGCTTCTTAAACTATTTTAAAGCTTTGCTCTAACAACATAAATACCATAAAATTTATCTTTTGACTCTTAAAAATCAAGAACTGTAAAGATTTACCTTCATAAAGTTCTAATTGTTCACTAAACTCATCATCTAATTGCTCGTCAAACTCATTATTTACACTCTCAAATTTGGAATTCAAAATTGTTAAATTTGTAGATTGTTGCAAAGTAGATTCACTTGTTTGGGATACTAACAAAATAGTTGTAGATGAACTACTTTGGAGCAAAGGATCAACATTTTCTAGTTCTATTATAACTATTTAAAAGATAAAACTTTTAATACTGCATTCAAGTTACAACTGAATATTCAATCATAAAACTGGTAACACTATAGCTAGCTTGTCTATTTACCAAAAAAAATATAACCAATTCCTGTTCAATGATTACAAGAAAAAGAACATAATAGTTAATTAATGCTTGTGATTGTCTAATATTTGATAGTAACAAATATAAAACTGTAATGACTTTTTTCTATACAAAAAAAAAAAATAGCAAACACTAACGATTCTAGCTCAACAATTGTAAGCTAAAGAAGGTAATAGAATAAGTGCTCATAGTTACCTGATGTTTATTAATAACAAATATAAACTGTAACTGACTTGCCTTTTCAAAAAAAATAATAATAGTGAACGTGAACGATTTCTATTCAATGATTGAAATTAACAGTTAGTTAGTGCTTGTGGGCGCCTGATATTCATTAGTAACAGATTTAACTGACTTACCTTTCCACAAAAAAAAAAATAGAATAAAAATAACGAACACAAATGATTGTGTTCAACGATTATAAACTAAAGAAAAGAATAGTTAATTAGCGCTTGTGATTGCCTGATATTCACTAATAACAAGTATAAAACTGTAATTGGCCTGCCTTTTCACAGAAAAAAAATAGTAGTAAACATGAACGATTCTTGTTCAATGTTTATAAGCTAAGAAAAGTAATAATTAATTAGTTCTTGTAGTTGTCTGATATTCGCTAGTAACAAATATAAACTGCAACCCAACTTGCCTTTTTACAAAAAAAAAATAGAAAACATGAATGATTCAGTTCAAAAATTGTAAGCTAAAAGAAGTAATAGTTAACAAGTGCTTGTAGTCACCTGATATTGTTGGTAATTTTTGCATCAAAACATTCACTTATTTTTAGATTTCTTCAGTTTTCACTAGTTTTGGCACCTCTTTTATAACAAAAAAATAATAATAACTATGGGCTAATTCTTTTATAAATGACCAATACACGCACTTTTGTTTAGATTACTATGCTAGGCGAAAGAAAAGAGTTGTTTGTTTTAATTATACCCTCCTATTTATAGTATGTTAACATTTTCTATCTAATTAGACAAACAATAAACTGATCGTCATTTAAACTTTGTTGTGTAATATAGGGTTACACGATTCAAATTATAATAATAGCTGTATAATATAGAATCATATGTGTAATATAGAGTCACATGAATCAGGCTACAATTTAATTGTGTAATATATAACTACTTATGATACTCCGCATATGGTGTACCCCGCATCAAATAAATATATCCTAATTTTTAAAATATATATTTTGTAATTTTATTTGATAGATTATTTTAATAAATAATGTTTTTTTATAAATATATTTAATTTAAAATAAAATTAGATTTATATATAGCTAGTAAACTTTTTTTGATAATTACTTGAACTATATTTTCTAAAAAACTATTTACTATTAAAAAATACAGTTTGGTTATAGACTTTAATATAAAATATAGAAAAAGAAACTATAAGTCAGTAGCTGTTATTTAGAGGTAGTTTTCATATACTACCTGCTAACAGTCTTAGAGTTTATCACTCACTGCAAGTATAGCACTTGCCATTTAGAAATAGTTCTCATATACTACTTGCCAACAAGTTTAGAGTTTATCATTCATTAGAAAGACTTAATACTATGCAGTTTTGGGTGTACTGTTGATTTCTTTTAAAAGAAAACTCATACTCTTTTAGTGTTTTCAAATGTTTTTTTCTCTATCTTGTATGTGGACAATTTTACCAAAATTTTTGACAAAAAGTGGACAATTTAGCTTACTCACTTCAAAAAATCAGCATTGTTTACACTTTTTATTTTCAGATGAATGAAGTAGAACATAAATATAGAATTATTTTGGTAATAATGTGTTATAAATCAATTAGCACTCTGGTTAATAAACCAACCCAGATCAGATTTTAAAGTCAGAAGAAAATTTTAATAATAAGGCTTAGCTTTATAACAGAGATATACAAGATTTTTAAATTTAGAAATTAGTTTGTTTTAAATTTAATTAAATATATAATTTTTACAACTGTGTCTGGCTCAGGCTATAATAGTACTTTTATAGATCTTTTTTTTTTCTTCTTTTTTTCTTCTTTTATTGGTTTTTTTTATTCATTTTCTTGTTACTTAAGCAGTTTTTTTCTTCCTCTTTTATGTATTGTTTCCTTTATCTTTGTTAGTATTAATATTTTTTTATAAGTTAGTTGGAAACTATAAATCTTTTTGCTTAGAAAGCTAGAAGAAGAAGGTTAGAAAAGAAGATAATCTTGATAGACTGTAAATACTATTCAATGATATATTAAAAAATTCATTTGCAGGTTTTTTGATATAGAAATAGACTTTACTATAGCAAAACAAACATGGGTAATTTGGGTACTTCAGTATTACAAAGAGCCAGGTTAGCTAATACTTATAAATAAGTGAACTTTAAGCAACTTTAGTCAAAAATATATTTTTGTCTGTGAGTTTAAATATTTATATCTAATAAAGTATTGGCAAAATTGCTAAATTAACAAAAAAAATAATAATAAAATAAATTAAAATTTAATTTAATTTAATTATTTTTAAACTAAATTATTATTTTGGCAAAATTGCTAAATTAACATAAAATAAAATTTAATTTAATTTATTTATTTTTAAATTATTTAAGGCTAAATTATTATTATTAATTAATCTTAGTTGTATATAGAATATTCTCAAGCACCTCTTTGAATGTAATTTTTTAGTAATCAAAATAGTGTAATAAGTATTGTAATATAATTCTTAGCAAAATATATATAAAATCTTTTAAGAAAATTTTTTTGTTAGTACACAAAAGACAGTTTCTTGCAGAAATTTTTAAGTAATAAGCAATTTTTTAAAAAAATAAACATGGTTTTGAATTTTTCTAATCATGTTATATATATTATACAAATTGTGGTTTGTTATTGGTATTGAAAAAGAGATCAAATTATATGATTATAGATTAAAAGCTTTTTTAAAAAAATATAATCAGCCTAGCTAACTAAGTTAAATAATTTTATAGCCAGGTCAGCCCAAGAGTTTGGCATTGGCCAATATGATTAGTTAGTTGTTGAAAAATCTTGTTTAAAGCTTAAACAAAAAAAAATTTGCTTGATTTTAATTAATTTAAATTTTTTTTAACTTTTAAGTAGTGATTTCTTGATAACTAGTAAACAAATTCAATAAACTCTTTTTTATTTTAACTTTATAACTCTATTAAATTGAAATACTGTAATAATTTTTTTTACTGAATTTGATCAAGTTGCTGTTAGTTATTATTGCTAGAAGTATTGAAAACTTTCAAATTTATTAATTGGATCTGTGCTACATAATTTCATAACCTGGCACAGGATTAATAATTCTATAAATTTAATAGTAATAAAGTATAATTATTAATAAAATACTTTTATGAATAATTTAAATAGTTCATATTAGTAGTTATTGTATTTATTATTTCTTAATTAGTAGATATTTGCAAATAAATTTATCTATATAATTACTATATGTTTTTGATCTACTTTTTTAATTATTTAAAATATTTAAAAAAATTTAATATAATAATATTTAAAAATAAAAATTATAAAGCTGTAGTAACTTAGTATATTAATGAAGTTGTTATTTCTAAACTAACTTATAACTAAGATACTAAGTTAAAATCCTACTAGCAATAATTTAAACAAAATTATTTGTATTATAATAATAGATTTTTATTGATAAGTTAAGTTTTATTATCTGTAATTTCTGCTATACCAGTGTTGAATAATGCTAAATATATTAGTGTAATACTTGTTTTATATAAAGAATGCAAATTGAAATAGGCAGTAAAACTTATAATAAAACTTCTAAAAATATATAAAACTAATAAAGAGAACTTGAAGATCTGAAACTAGCTTGGCAAGATCTAAATAGAAAGTATAAAAATATAATAGTACTACCAAAATCCACTATATATAATGAAGAGTAGTGAATAAACACTATTGTTGGGTTATAGACTAGAAATTTTAAATATGTAACTCTGTAGTTGGGTGCAGGTACAAGCATCTAGTATAGAACTCTAAGTAAAATAGCTTAGATATAATCTACTTAAATTAGGCACCAAAAATACATGTTTTACTAGTTGTACTCTCATCTATAAACTAATAAAATTCTATATACTTAAATAAATTTCCTAACCAAGAGATTACCTTAATACCCAAAAAAAAAAATAAATAATAATTATATTTTTGCAATATTTGTATTTATATTATAAGACAAAAATTTTAGAAATTTTTAAATAAAAAAATAATTTACAATTTCTTGGTGAATTTTTTATCTATTAGCTTTAAAAATATAGTTTCTAATACAATATTGTAGTTTATTATTATATATAGTGAATTCTTAAGGAAAGAAATAAATGGGAAATCAGAGCACAACACCGCATACGGCACAATATATTTGCTATTTCCGGGAACACATTCCGTTTCAGTTTTAACAATCACAAATTACAACTAATGGAACCTGCCATTTTCTTACTTTTCTTCATGGTTACAACTGTTGAATATCAATATCACATGTTCATATTAACGGCCGGTCTGCATTTTGCAGGCGGGGAAACCACCGGCCAGCACGAAACTGCACAAACTCAACTGCTTACGATGAGCCCCGGAAATATTAATTGCTATTTCCGGGAGCTTATCCCGTATTAGTTTAATTATGCATAACGACAAACTACAACTAATGTAAAATGCATTCATCAAATAAAATTAAGCTACGGCATTTCAGTCGTGATTATTACAATATTGAACATGCGAGTAATGCTTTTCGAAAAAAAAAAAATTTTGCCGATGTTACAGTAGATTTTTTTTCGATATTTCAAAACTTCTAGCGAAGGTTTCTCGACACCACTAAATCAAATTCAATGAACTTTTTTATTTTAATTTTACTACCCTCGTAATAACGTAGTGATCGAGCTGGTAAACTCCATCTGTTATAATAAATATCCGTTATTGCATTATATAGTTAATAATAATAATTTTAAATGTTCTAGAGAATTTCTCCGTTATAATGAGGGATCCGCTATAACGAGGTAGAGTGTATATAGAATCAAAATAAAAAAGTTTTACTAAATTTGATTGAATGATTACTTAGAAATCTTCGCTAGAAGTTTAAAAAAGTTCAAACGTGATTCTTATTGAATATTTGGGCTCCTGAATCAGATCAGAAAGGATCTTCTGCCCGGGATTTTCTTGACATAAGAGAACCCTGTATATCTACTGAAGATATTTTAATTTCCTTTTGGCAAACGAGATTTACGGATAGTAGCATTCTTGATACATGCTTTATTTAAACTAAGATGCGTAAGTTCACGTAGGTCTAATTATGTTTCTTGATAATACATGAAGATGTTTATATAATAATGTGAAATATGTTGGGCGACATCGCTAAATTCTTGTTTGGCATATTGGGCGCCTATTGAGAATAAATACTATTATTATTGTTCTTTAGTATTATTTTTTAACTATTATATTTGAGGACTAAAGCACAAAAATAAGTTGTGCTTTGGTTTAGAGATCCAAAGCGTTTTAAGAGTGTTCAAATTAATGATACTCTTGCCTGTGATAATATTAATCATAAGTTGTGCGCCTTGTATCTGCAGTTGTTAATGCGCTAGCATTAATGTTATTATCTAGTGTCTAGAGGGAGCTTTGTTTGAGCAAAGTCTAAACTGAATGCTAAAGTTTCAAAGGTGAAAGCTATTGTATTTATATAGTCAAGAAGGCTATTCTACTAAAATATTCTGCCAATGTAAGGCTATTTATAACTAAATTGATAAATAATACGTATGGATATTATATTATGATATCCAATTATGGTAAATACTAATTTGAGTATGATGTAACGGGCGTGATCGGAAAGGGTCAAGGGTTTGATGCAATGAACACAGCATATATTTGTAGATTATGACACAAAATAATTAGCATCCCGCACTTGATATATCACAAGATTGCCCTAGTAGACCTATCCACCATTCCGAATTCTTATTAAGTAAGCCCAGAAAAAGCAACAGAATTGCTACGATGAAACCGCAAAAAGAAAACCAAAAATGAAATATCAAAGGTTCAATTATATCCTTTTTCCCCCTCAAGTGGCTTAAATATGCTAAAGTATTGTTGAATGACCATATGGAACAAATTATTGTAATATATTTGCTTCGACAAAACAATCCGATTGGGGGTGTAAAGTAGGTCAGAAGTATTGTAATCCAAGGATAAAGTATTGATATAAAAGCGGTTAAAAATACATTAAAAGGTTTATAACCTCTATTACCCGGCTCTACATTCATAATTATTTTCTCCCGAAATTTCTCAAATTCCTTTTTAGGATCTTTGACTACTAGGTTTCCTGAAGATATTCTTCTCCAGAGTGCTGGAATTGTCCAGGACAATAACAATGGTATATCTGGCCAGTCATCACAAGCAACTGATCCAGCCGCCCTAGATATTCCATCCAATACGCCGATTATGATATAATACATTGGTATAATTGATGATAATCTTTCTAGATCCGATGTTTTTGCTGTGCATCTATCTACATATTCTTTTACAACAGGATTATCTTCCAGTCTCATAGCATATACACCAAAAGGTCTATATGACAGTACTTTACCGTCATTCGTAAATTTATCTGCTGGAAGCCAAAATAGGCAACGAGATTCTGGACTACTACCTACATTGACAGAGTAAAAAATTCCTATAAATGGGCACCCAAGACAACGTAAAATCCACATAAGTTTTTTCGTAAACATATTCGCCGGTGATGCGCCTGCTATTGCTATAGCTGGCAAACAAACTAAAACATACTGCGGTATAGGTTCTGAGAAATTATGTATGATTTGCGAAAAATCCGACATTTGTTCTGGAATATAACTTAAAATAAGATCAATTAAAATAGCAAGCCTAGTGTTATTTCTTTTGATTATATAATGAGTATTTTGTTCTTTCAAAAAGAAATTTAATTCACAATTTAAGCACACAACAAATATAGATCAGTCAAATAAATTTTTAAAGATTTCGGCTCAACCTGCGAACCAGTTTTAAATTATTTCAAATAAAAGGGAAAAGCAGTAATTAATTCAATATAAAAAATTTTTGATACTTTAGTTCAATGATCAATTTACTCGAACATGGCATAAGATTCATTGCAAAAAATGCACACTTAATATATAAAATTTATCGTTAACAAAATACTACTCCATTTCTTTACTAAACGTTCCACAATTCCTTATCTACAAATTCATATATTCTACTAAATTTAATCATTTCATTTAGGTAATATTGATATCGGAGTTTTGACCAACCTGTAAATGGATCATAAGATGGATTTGTAAAAATAGCAAGCTTGTACTCACTGAATACAGTAAAAGTGCACATTCAAATTCAGGTCCAACTATATATACAACTTCTATATGTTTATTGATTAGAAGCCATTAATGTTATTTTATTATATTATAAGATTATCGCTGTCTAGGTCACAATATTTATAAATATTATGTAATCCGGAAATTGATTATCGCTTTAGTTAGATCGACGATCTGTATAATTTTGAGTCCCGTGAGTCCTGTGATCACGATGTGGATATCACTTCATATTCATATTTGTAGAACTCATTTTAGAATTCTTATATCTCTATTTTTTTTGATAAATAAATTTAAAAAACATACGACGAACGCAAAGTAGTTATCTATCTTGTATTCACGGACTCACGGAACTCAAAAAACATTATGCAGATCGTCGATCCAACTAAATTGAAAAGAGTGATAATTCAACGATACTCCGATATGTGAATAATTAGTCGAACCAATCGGAAGTGGTGGGAATTAGTAAACTCCACGAACCAGCTGTGTTGTCAATTTTTAATGTTCGAGCTATTTTTGCGGACTTGGACATTTTCGGAATTTATCCGAGTCCGTATCCGAATTATGTCCGAGTAAATTGATTAAATTGATTGTCACCAGTGTTATGCTAGAATTTCTTTTCTTTTTTTTGTTTAGTCATAACTTATGTTTATTTTTATTTTTTTTTTTATATATGATATATTTTATTTTATTCGGGAAAATGATTGTCGTGGCATAGTTGGGGGATAATAAGCCTCAATAAGGATTAATAACCCTCAACGAGGGTCAATAACCCTCACGAGGACTAATAACCCTCAGCGAGAGGTAATAACCCTCAGGCGGGGTTAATAACTACTAGGGTAGATTGAAGGTATAAAAAGGGTTAGGTTTCAACTTTTGAATAGGACAATTATTGCTCGCAGATATTTGCATTATTGGTAATTCTGAATGATAAATTTCCTTGAATTTGTGCTTAGAGAGAAATAAATAATTGTGATCATCAAATGCGTAATAAATCATTTTTACGTGAATCGATTTTATGATCCTTTAACCCATAAAATATACAATTCTTGTTCATGATCGAAGCTAAACCGACACCAATTACCTAAAGCTCTCCCACTGGTCGTAACACTGGACATTGTCCTTGCAATAATTTTCGGGCACGGACATATTACTGGGAAATCTGACAAAAAATTATCCGAATGATTATTCTGCCAATGTTTACTAATTGAAATTATTTTTATTAATTGATAATAGTCTTAGACAATATATATTAAAGTCAGTCTAGGTTGATATATTTATTTATTTACAATATTTATTTATTACGATCTATAAATTTTATTTATATATTTATTTGTTGTGTCACTTAAGTATTTAAACAACATTACAAACATTTTACCATGCTAACCAAACCACATATCATATTCTTCTAACTATTAACTTATGTAATACTCTAATTAATATTCTATACATGCATCCTGTCTTAACTTCTTATTCCAATTTACCAATCACTACTACCTTCATACTACACTCCAGAGCCTTATCCCAATTTTACTTACACAAGCTCTTCAACTCACAAATATGTATACAATGCAAAGATACTACTCAAACAATTATTTAATAATACATCATATTTCCGAAAACATACTGTGTTTACTCAAAATAACGCACAGGGGTGTTATTTTGAATTTTAGCCCGAATTAAGCTTAATTCGGGCCAAATTCGAAATTATACCCCTGCGCGTTATTTCGAGTAAACACGGTTATAAACAAATATTAAAACAATATTGCATCAGACTTGTCTACTAAGAAAACACTGTAAAATCTCAACTAAAACCATATACTCTTCTAGACAACATAACAAGCCTTAAAAAATGATAATACAAAATATTTTATATAACTTTCCAGAACAATTACATACTAACAATAATATATAGTTATCGTGCAAACTCTTATGATCATGGCTTTTTTTTGCCTTGATATTTTTATGCACCAAATGTTACACAATACGATATTCAACAAATGCGCAAATATTCAAATAAAAGATTTTTAACAAATGCACAAATAA